AAAATGTAGAAGGTTTTATTTTAGAGAATTTATGGAAAAGGCTATGCTATCAAATAATAAATGATTTTTCTGAAATAAAATAATAATAAATTCAATTTATATTACATATATGGAATTTTAGTAAAAAAGATGAAGAAAGATAAAGGAAAATTGATATTAATCAGGATGAGGACACCCAAATAATTGATTTTCTCCATTTCTTTTTGGCTGGACTCCCCTCCCATCAACATCATCATCACCAACAAAAGCTGTGGTTCCGTTGGTGTCACCACCACATCCTCCGTCCTCCTCCTCTGACGGTTTTCCTTTTTCGATCCGCTGCAGTCTCGTCGCCGTAGGTATTATTGTTTTTCATCCTCCCTTTGTATTCCGCACGCTTCTATTATGTTTCTCTAAAATTAGGTAAACTTCGATACGATGTTGTTTGCTATTTCATCTCTGTTATCTTCTCCCCAATATTCTGCATACAATTGTTGTTTTTCGTAATTCGGATTGAATTTTTGTCTATTTTTATGTATGCGAGTGATACGTTTGGATTATTTCAACAAATAGCTATACGTTCTCGATTTGTGTTTCGGAATTGCGTTAGATTCGTTCAAGTATCACTATTGATGCATTGCGCGGTGGTATCCAATTGGAATTAATAGATACCGCATACCAGTGATCCACAAGTAGATTTTGAGTGTCTTGCTTTTCAATTATGGATAACTGTTGTCTACAATTTTGCTTAGGCATATTTAAGTCCTGCGCAACTCTGTCCGGATATGGAAATATATGAAATTAATTTAAAATTTTGGCAGAATTCGCACTGACAACGGTAGAGTTGGAATTAATGGAGGATTGCTGTGATTTTATACAATGGCTTGGAGCTGATATGTCCATAAAGATACTAATGTGTTTGGATAATCCAGCAGACCTTGTTCGTGCTAGTGCTGTTTCAAGCTCCTGGCGTCAGTTTGGTAAGTTCATAACTCTTTGCATCAATATAAGATTTCACACGATCTCTTTAACTTTTAATTGTGTACTTCGTGTGTGCTCAATATTTCCAACTTATATATTGTACACAAGATAGTCTTGGTAACGAAGAGAACGAGTAAGAGTAATCTGTCGAGTTGCATTAATTACAATAATCGATCGGCGAAGCTCAATTGAGGGATCATAGATATAAAATTATAAGATGCACTTGCATTATGTTTGTTTTAGAACTTCTAAAAATTCATTTCATCAAACATAATTTAACTGCTCAAACGTACCCAGATTTGACACGTAGATCACACCTTTGAAAGTAAATAGCCTCTTGATGTGCTTACTAAGGTAGGTTGGTTGAAAAGAAGAAACAAAAGAAGAAGATCAGTAATCCTTGTTTGATAAGATAAATCGCAACATGCATCTTCATTCATATTCAAAGTTGTCTTGGCTTACAAGAGACTTGATGCTTAAATAGGCTAGCTTGGAACATTCTCCGAGCATGGGAAACATAAAGAAAAATAAAAGAAAATATCTTGGAACAAAAGTATGGAAAAATATAAGAAAGTAAATAAGGAGAATATGAAAATAGAGGAAAACATTAAATGTTCTTGGAAACCCACTACTTTGACCATCTTGCACCCTTCCAATCATAACTCTGAAGGCTCCAAGTATGTCCAAAAATACTTATGTTTAACTGCTGCCTGTCCATAACTAAACTACACGGCAACCCGACATGCTTCGGTCAGTTAAGTAAGTGACTTTAGTAGGGTTTGCACCTTCAACCGCCTCATGGATCACATCATCTTCTCGAGGTTGATAAGGATTTTCCCTCGAATCCAGCAAGTTATCTTCCACATAAGGACTTAGACTCCACATATTGAAAGTGTTTGATACGTGATAATCTCCTGGAAAATCAACCTTATATAGTATCTTGAAAGGACCATTGGCTCGTGGCTTGAGCTTAGACTTCCTTTTGCTTGGGAACCTCTTCTTTCGAAGATGAATCCATACAAGATCCCGGATTAAATTCAATCCTCTTCTTTCCTTTGTTATTAGCCTTCCATATTATGAATTTTATCTCTATCTGTTGTTTCACCTTCTCATGCAATTGTTTGATAATCTTTACCTTCTTCGTTCAATCCGAACACATTGTATTATCAATCAAAATTTGAGCCAAGTCGAGTGGAGTAGTGGGATTAAAGGAGTATGCTTGGTTGTACCATGCAAGCTCCTATTATAGGCAAATTCGACAAGGGCTAGACATTCGTCGCAATTCCTCAACTTATTAACAACCACCCAAAGACCGAAGTAATGAAGAAAGGGTGTGGTTGACCACTTCAGTTTGTCCGTTGGTCTGCAGATGACAAGTAGTACTAAAAGTAATTTTGTACCGAATTTCTTCCACACAGTCTTCCAAAAACTTAGAAACTTGACATCCTGATCTGACACAATATTACTTGGTATTCCATGTAGCCGAACGACTTCTTTGAAATAACAAGTTAGCTGCATGTGAGGCATCATCTATTTTATGGCATGGAATAAAATGAGACATCTTTGAGACACAATCCACAACTACCATAACTGGGTCCTCTCCTCTTCGAGTTTTGAGTAATCCAAGTACAAAATCCATACTCACATTCATCCAAGCAATGGCATGTGTAACCCGTGCACATCTTTTCAACTCTGTCCTTTTATGGGTTACACATCTTTCCATCATCTGATACACATATTTGATCATTTCTGGCCAGAAAAAGTGTTCCCTTACCAAGAGCTCTCTTATAGAATTAGGAATACAAAGTCGTCGAGACTTGAAACAAGTATTCCCCATGCTTGTAGAACCCATTATCTCTCTTTCACAAGATGAGTAGATAAGAGCAAATCGCGAATCATTCGAGTATGATCCTTAATCCATTTGAAACCCAATAATTTGGACGTCATCATAGTAACTAAAGCATACCTTCTAGACAAAGCATCGACAACATTGTTGGTGTTGCCTTTCTTGTATTTGATTATGTATGGGAAGGCTTTTAAGAATTCCACCCATTTGGCATGTCTTTGACTCAACTTGTTTTGGCTCTTCTTATGCTTTAATGACTCGTGATCTGTGTGAACGACAAACTCCTTTGGTAGCAAGTAATGTTGCCATGTCTAGGTACCACACCACATGATACTTCGTCCATGTAGGATTTTCCAATAGAAAACGGTACCAGCACCTGTTTAGTAACTTTGGTTTCCCTATCTTTATTCAACCATTTCAATCGATGAGGATGAGGATGCTTTGTGGACTTGTGGTTGGTAAATTCAATTTTTCCACCAAAGTAGTGGAAGCAACATTGATACAACTACCGCACATCTTTTTGTCAAATGTACATCTCGTGTGGAAAATGCTTTCCTGCCGCTGATCATGGCTTTGACCCTACACGTCGGGTAACAAGTAACTCTCATTCATCAACAAATTCAATATTCTCTTCTCATCCACATCGCCTCATCTTCACTTTCAACTTCTTTGCCACAAACAAAAATCCTAGTTTGATTTGCCAAACTATTAGGAAGAAGGATGAAGAGTGATAAGAACCAGGTTAATTCACCACTAATCTAAGTTGAACTTTTTTGAGGTTATTGTAAACTAGATTATTTGAAGATTGTTTTTTTTTTTGCTTCCTAATTTAGCGAATGAACATGAGCCATGAATAAGATAAATAATCCGAAGTTACAAGCAATAGTTTTCCTAGATATGATAATTGTCTTTGAGCAAAATGTTTAAGCATCGGACATTGGACAGTCCTATTGGCTATTGTGACACAAATAAAAAAGCAGTGGTCAAATGGTTCATTGTGCTATGCAGTTTCTATTTTCTAGGCACGTGTCATCAACTCATAGAGCTAGAATACATCAACCGTTGTGAAGCTGCTACTGTAATAGAAGTCGCTGCAATTATCTGTTGCCCTTTCTATTTGTGAGTTGGATTTTGTAATATGTATTTATGTAGTAAATTAGCAAGAAAGCTGCCTGGTAATTTGTTACAGGAAGGCTAACACTTGTTACCAACCATTATAATGCTTTGATATGTAATGTTCCACTGATAATTCCAACAATATATTATGTCTACACCAGCCATGGACCAATAGTAAAGTGGAATTTTGCTTCAGAAGAGTCGAGTGATTTTAAATTCTCTTTCAAGTTGAAGAAATCCTATCTAGGATGACCAGGGGAATCATTTTGCTATATTATATGGGATGCAGATACAAGCATGTAAAGGCACTTGTTAAGGTTGATGTATGAGTTTGCTAGAGTGGGATGGCTAGATAAATGTGATTTTCCAAAAGAAATATGGAGTGGCATTGATTGCGATGTCAATGAGGGAATGTTCTCTGGTGGTTTGGTCATATGCACTATAAATATCTAGTACACAGTGAAGAGGATGTAGTTGTATCAAGAGGAATGCGTCGGGAAAAGTAAGAGACTTAAGATCAAAATTGATTTTTGTTAGTTTTCAATTTATCATTGAATGGTTGTATTCTAATTATGGATTTAGGGTTAAAAAGGGGGCTGTGCATTAGGAGATGTAGTGTGCGAAAAGAGTAGATGTAAATATGTAATGAAATTGACTTGTTAAATTGTTGCAGAAGTTCAGTTTCTGAATGCAGTTTGTGTCGAAGATTCTACTAATTAGGTGTCACATATAGCATACCTGACAACATTTTCATATAGCCATATAGGCTTTATATGGTCGATTAGAATATGTTGTACCGTCATCCAGCACAGGTAGCTTTATTCTCATATAAGCATGTATACTGTTAGTGATATGCTTCTGGGCTCATGGCCATCACACATGCAGCAGCATCATGTTTTTTGACCACCACCTAGTTGCACTTCGATGATGGCTTATATAAGTATCTCCCCAATATATATATATTTTTTACGATATTAACATGTGTATGACTAAATGGAATCATCAAACAGAAAACGTGGGTTGAGAACAGGCTAAAAATACTGAATGGAAATTTGATTCAGTTGTACCACAAAATTGACAAGGCCTGATGGAAGCTCTGATTAGAAAGATATATAGTGCACTCAGTTGCCTTATTGGCAAGTGAGGAAGCAGCGCCTGTCTATTTCATTTATGACCAATTCTTTTTGTCTGAATCTTTTTGTCTCCTTGAACAAATATTCACTTCCTATACTCTGCAATACACGTGTTACTTAAATTTTGTAAACGAGTGCATTCAAGAAATGGGGACCTCAAAAGGAAACATTTTTCTAAAAGCATTCTTACAATTTGGATAAAACAAGTCCTAGGTTATTTTGTAACTGATTGTAACATACAGACAATTCTTACATGGTAGTGTTTCTGATGCAGTTGTCGCGAATGGCCTTTCTAAGCAGCTTTGCATAAGAATGTTTCCTAAAGTATCGAGTGTTATTAGTGTTGTCGAGATGAATAACAGGATAGAGCATGGACACTATGGCGTTGATGGTTCTATGGAATGGCCACGGTTGGAGAAGGAACACCGAGTATATGCGTTTTTAGCTAGGGGTTTCACCTCCTTTATGAGAAGGGATTGCATATTGGAGGCGATTGTTGCATCTAGCACAGATAACTATCCTCAAGAAAGCATCCATCACACTTTAGAACCAGGTGACAGGGTTGATCAAAGGGCTTCTTACTGGTCAAGCGAAGGCGAAGTTGATCCTTCAGTTCCTGAAACATTAGTATATAAGCTTATTGCAAATTTATGTGTGATTACTGAGATCCACATACATCCTTTTCAAGGTTATACTCGGAATTTGTCAATAGTAACTTTATTGTGTCATTGTGCTGACAAAATTTCTGTTGGTCTAGCAGCATATTTTCAATTTGGTTTTCCCATTTACTCTGCAAAAGCTGTGCGGTTTCGGTTGGGGCATGTGAAGCCTACTTATGAAATTGAGAGTGACATGAAAGACGAGTCTACAGCTGCTTTGAGGTTTATCCGTGACAATGTTGTTTGGACATACACATCACCATCATTTCCAATGGCACAGGTGTGTTGCATTCTGATTTGTTGTCATTCTTTCCGATCATGATTCGGAACTGTTAAGTTTTATCCAGACAAATGGTTGATCTTGCATATTGTCATTTTATATCTCATGGATGTCTTAATACATTTCCTAAGAAGTTTTAATGATCTTTAGATGTTGTTAGTCACTAGAAAGGTGCATATGCTGGAAAGTAGTGTAATGATTCCTTCTCTCTTCTTCATATTTATCAAGGTTTTGATGTAACAGGAGAGCCGTCTTCAAAAATTTAAGCTACCAGAACCTGCTTTATGTATCGGAGGGATCTTGCAGATAGAGTTGCTGGGTAGGGTTCAGAGACAAGAAATGGATGAAAAATACTATATATGGTAGGTTCTTTGTTCATTAAGACATTGACCCCTTGTATGGCAACCACTTCTATTTCATGTCTGCCAAAAAATCACTAGAACACTCCCATAAAAATATGTTGGTTAGTCTCCTAAATTTATTCAAACCAACTTCTGGAAGCTGAATACGATTAGCAATATGTTGATTAATATCCTAATGTTAAAGTTTTGGATGGGTCTTAACGTTTATTATGGTGATGCAGCGTGTCGCATGTTCAAGTTATGGGACGACCTCTTTCACCTGCATTTGATGTGGATATAATTGATTCGAGTGGGTTGTGCTCGCTGAAATACTACTCGCATGCAGAGTATTGCTGTTCACCCCCAGATTCTCCTGAAGGTGAGGCAAGTAGTAGCCCTTCTCGTTTCCGTTCATTCACTGCAAGCATAAGAGGTTGGGAGCAAATGATTCTTAACACATTACTTGGCGGCGGAGTGGTGGTGGGTAACGATGATTCAGATGATGAGGTCGTTGGTTAATCCCCTTCTTTATGATATACAAATAGAGTTAGCAGGTAACAGTTGTTGGAAGAGCTGCAATCTAAATCCCCCATTTTTCTTTGTAATGTTGGTTGTTTGGTACTCGTTGCCTAAATCTGTGGTTATTGTAACATCTTTGTTGGCTTCTTTTATTAGGACGTTTAGTTGTATACATATTTACAAATAACTGAGATCGGGGTCTTGTAGAAGGCTGTTTTTAGGTATAAATTGCTTATGTTATGTATGTTCTCCATATAATGGTTATGCACAGATGATAGGAACTTTAAATATGTTAAGAGAACCCGGGAAGCACATGTCAATACAATAATATATGATTAAAGTGTTTCGTTTGTGAATACATATTGACCAAATGTTAGATGTATATGGATACTGTTTTGTGAACACATTGAAACACATGTAAACAATGTAAACAATATATACACCATATGAACTTTGGCGACTACATATATGTTGAAGATAGAACATTCAAGTTTCTTATCATATTAAAATGATAAGTCATTTATAATTTGGAAAAAAAACATATTATTTTAGTTATAATCATGGGATTGATGTTTTTGTAACCGCCATTAATGAATGTGAGTTAAGACAAAAAAAAAAAAAAGATTACCACTGTGTCCTTAATATTAACTGTATATATGGTGATAGAAAAACCTAATCTAACAAAGATTATTGATTTGTTTAAATGGTTTGACCAAATGAAAGATTCATACATACTCTTGTATAAATTTCAATCAGGTTTTCATATAGAAATAAACAAAAATACTAAAACAACAAAATTAAATCGTATTTAATATAATTAATTTTTAATTTAAACAAATAATGGTTATACAATAATATTTTATTTTATTTTATATATATATATATATATATATGTCTATATTGTGTGTATAAAAATATTATTTTTACTTTTTTATATAAAAAAGACAAAATGATAGATAAAAGATTAAAATAACCCTTGATTTAACGAAGTTAACGGCGATGTTAGTCAGAGAACCAAGGGCAAAACAAATAAAATACCACAAGAACCAAATCCATAATAAACATACCACAGAGATCTTAATAAAAGCACATCAAACCAGGGACCAAATCTACAATTCACTCTAAAGAATTTAAAGAAAAAAATGTGAATCACGATAACTTTGGGAGAATTTTCACTTTTGACCCTTGTAATTTTTCCAATGTTTGATTTGTTTTTTTAATAGTTGCTAACTGACGATATTAACTCCAAATTCCTTGAGTGTTATAAAATAATAAACTTAGGGACCATCAATATAGATAGTTTATTTTAGAGATTAAATCTAAAATTTGAGCATATCACCAGTGTAATCACTCTTTTATTTCTATGATCTATAAAAAAAAGGGAGGATAATCACAAAAAAGAGGTTCCAACAAGAAATAGAAAAAAATATATTTTTTTTATTAACCTGGATATCTAACCCGCTATACGGGCCGACTAATCCCAGGACGACCACCTACTTTACAGATAGTCCGGAGTCACCGCATTTGAACCTCCGTGGCCACAAGAAGATTTTTATTTTTCCTTGGATTTGAACCTGAAACCTTCTTGTACTTTTAACCTTTGAAGTCAAACTCAAATCAATCAGACACACTTTTATGGTTAAAAAAAAATCCTTATATAAATGAAATTCTTCTTATATCCCATTTAATATGACATTAATTACAGCTGCATAATTCTTGTGTATTAATGAGCTTTAAATGAAATTCTTACAAATGATGATAAGATTATACTTAAAATGCTAGAAAATGTGTGTGCAATGTATCTTTCTGTTTACTTGGATTGAATTGTAGGTATTTTTTCGTAACCCCATTTTAGAAAATTGTCATCCTATCAATTAAAACAATCTCTTTCATTAAATATGACATTTAATTACAACCGTATCTGTTATGACACGAAAATACTGTTGTGTGTTTGGGTTTTAATGAAATTGTTACTCTGAATACATAATATATGTTTACAAATGATAAATAAGATTATACTTAAAATGCCACAAAACGTGTGTACATATACCTTTCTATTTGTAAATGCATAATCAATAATCAAATAATGAGCGATCATCTATACTATATTATAAAATACTTAGCAAAAACTTTTAAAAACCATTTTTTTATACATGAATTACTGTTTATCGATGCATATTACTTAAAATTCAAGATTACAAGTAAATAATGCATAAATACAACTTATTAAAGCTACATGCTTGAATTCGTGTAACTAACTGCAAATAAACATAATCAAATACTTGATAAACATTTTATTTTAAATATAAAAAACCTAAAATATAATTAGGATAACTATTGTGTTCTAACAGAATACTTAATTATTATCTTTATAAAAAATTATATTATTAAATCAAAAATAAATTACTTCGTTATTAAACCTAAATTAAATTATACAAAAAATTAAATTAAAGAAATTACACAACAAAACAAGAACCTTTAACTAGTTAATTTGATACTAATATCGATATTTTTTTTTTCAAAATTTTAAGATATCTTCAAATTTATATTTTATTCAAAAATAAAAATATTATCTTTTTTCTCAAAACCAAACCTTATTATAACATCGACAGAGAACAGAATAAAACGAAACATTAAAATCGAAATGTATTTCACTGTATTGCGTGAGTACCCTTCTAGTCTTTATTAATTTGTATCAAGTTTTAACAAGAAAATAAAGTATTTGGTGTAATTTTAGAAGCAATAATATAGACTCACTATTTGTGTGAATTCAATTCCAGATTTTTTTACTTTAAATCAAACGTAAGATTGGAAATAAATCTAACTCAAAATCTCACCAAATCAAAACGGACTAATACAGCTCTCAAAGTGAATATCGTTGGACATAGAAAAACGATTGGTAAGGGAAATAGGAGGCAAAAATATATGGTCACAAGCTATTGGGATCCCGATCCTTGTTATATTCACCGTAAAATAAGTAACATAGTAAGGGGACGTTTACTAAACACTTATTTAGTAAGTACTTACTGGATAAATTTTCTTATCGGATGAACATGAGAAGGGTCAAGAATCTTACCGGGTAAGAACGATGAGAATGATGGAGAGTCTTACCCGGTAAGTGAGGATGATGACTCTTACCCAGGTAAGCGCTTACCCCCTAAATTGTTGCATTTGATATGTTTTAATATACTAAAATCTTACGCATCAAAATAAATCATAGTGTTAACTCCTATCGGTAAACGCTTACCGGGTAAGCAATTAGGTAAACGACCTCTAAATGTTTACTCGGTTAGCATTTGATAAACGGACCATTATTAGTTTATTACGTCTTTTTCTTCACATAAATTTGTACTTTTTTCAAAGTATTTTTGTGTTATAAAATAATAAATCAGACTGACGTTTATAAATATATGAATTTTTACAAATCAATAAAAATAATTTAATGGTTGTAAATTTAATTAAAGACATACAAAAATATTATTAGAAAAAATAAACGATTTTTTAAGGCTTATGAAAATATAATTAAATCAATTTAAAATACATGATTATAATTATTTCTTTATTTCTATATTTTATTTGCTAACTAATTTCTAATTCAACGATGATTATTTATAGTTTATATCCAAAAAGGGTATTTTAATCATTTTAAATATTTTTTTTTCATTTGTTATTAGAATTAAAAAGCATATTATATATTATGGAACCATATCTAAGGATTTCTTTGTGATTAATATTTTATAGGCCTTGAATGAACGAAAAAAGAAGTATTATTGTAAGAAACAAGACTTTTAGCAACAAATTTTATCGTCAATAAAAGTTCATTTATCATCAAAAAGAGTATATGACAATAACATGTCGTCGTTATAACTTATGGCGGAAACATGTTGTCGCTAAAAGACGCATCGTCAAATCTCAATTTTCTTGTAGTGACCCTCTGGTAAGTACGAATTTTTTTTAATAAATGTTTTTCATTAGTGTAAAATTGAGTACAAGAAATGCTAATAATTTATTGAGAAAAGAATTATTATTTATCTTTATCATAGATATATAAGTGAGTACTTAGATTTACGTACTTCCTATTACGTAATTTGAAACCAAGAATATAGAAAATATGGTTGATAATTTTTTATAAAAAGTAAGAATTCTTTTAATTCATAACAAGAAATATGTGTTATTTTGATACAAAGACGAAATTTGTGTGAATGAAGTAATTGTATATAAGGGTCAACGAGAGATCAATAATAAAGAAGATTATCGAGGTTTTCTAGACAAGTAGACAAATGAGAATAAATAATGAATTAAACATATAATATGCAAACTCAAAAAATGATTGTTTGAACACTTAAATAGAATCTTGTGGTATGATGGAATCCCAATGAAAGATACATAAGTCAAACAATTGATGAAAATATTTAAATTTTATTTTTCTTATTTTTCTGCCCAATTAAAATAAGATGTTAAGATTAAAAATTTATAAAACATGACATATATAAAAGACGTTATTTATTGTTTAATCACAAAACCATGAAACACGTCATAAATTACAAGAAAATAGATGGATTGTCAAAAATAGTAAAATATTTTATATTAATCAGCAACTGGTGGATGACGAAGAAGACGAAGAAACAAAGCAAAAAATAATTAATACCAAGGTCGATATCTTCCTGTTTCCAACTTCCGGCCAACACATCTGCAACTTCCGACCATAGACATCTCCAACTTCTGGCGTTCGAGATCTAACAGGTAACATTCCCACACATATTTTGTCATTGATCGATCCATTTCCAAGTTCCAATTTCTGGATGGAATCATAAAGTCGATAAATCTCTATGGTGTCGATTCCCAACTTCTGGCCATCGACATCTGCATCTCAAATTTCTTCGATTTCCAACTTCTGCTCAATCGATTTGCAGATCAACTCCACCTGCATATTTGCAGATTTTCACATATCCTGTTCTCTTCAGTCTGAAAATTTGAAAATCCAAATATGGCTATGAAGTTTCGCTTCATCATTGCATACATATTCTCTTGCTCATCGGAAACCACAGTCTCCAGAAGCATAAGTTGGTGGTGCTGACAAACCCGGCACCACCAAACATACAATCACTATCTTAGTCGCCAAAACTTCATGCGGTCGCCATACCTTCGTGCAATCACTATCTTGATCGCCATAACTTCATGCGATCACTATCTTGATCGCTATAACTTCCCCACCACGGCCCCATATCAACCACCGAAGTTTCTAGAAATGACAGTGCAAGCAGCCATAAATGATGCACTCATGGTTCGGGAACGAGCCCATAAGATCGAGTCCAAGCACCCAAATGCTTCAGGAAAAGGTTGTGGCCGAGCTGTATTGACTACTTTGGATGTGGTGGTTGCTCAAGGTGGCTCGGGAGATTTTACGACGGTTCAAGACGCTGTAAATACGGCCTCGAATTTACGTGAAGGTCGGGATGTACACAGCACAGAACACGTTGTGATTCCGAATGTTAATAGTTTGCAATAGAAATCCATGAGATCTTAATTAGAGATATAAAAATGCAGTTTAAATTAAGTATTTGGTAACACATATTTTATATATACTAGAAAGGTACTCGCACCGCAGCGAGATAAATCTTGATTTTAATATTTCAATTTATTATGTATCTCAGTCGATGTTATAATAGGGTCGTATGTGATTTTGAGAAAACGATTATGTTTTTATTTTTGAATAAAATATAAGTTTGAAAGTATCATAAAATTTTGACAAAAATATATCAATATTAGTATCAAATTAAGTATTTAAAATTTCTCATCTTTTTGTGTAATTTTTTAATTCAATTTTTTTTATAATTTAATTTAGGTACAATAACGAAGTAAATTATATTTGATTTAATAATATAATTTTTTTATAAAAATAATATTTAATTATTTTGTTAGAACTCGGTAATTATCCTAATTATATTTTAGATTTTTTATATTTTAAAATAGATGTTTATTCTCTATTTGATTTATGTTTATCCGCAGTCAGTTATACGAATTCAAACATCGAGCTTTAGTAAGTTGTACTTAGGCATAATTACTTGTAATCTTGAATTATCTTAATTATATTTTAGATTTTTTATATTTAAAATGAGATGTTTATCAAATATTTGATTATGTTTATCTGCAGTTAGTTAGATGAATTCAAGTATGAAGCTTTAATAAGTTATACTTATGCATAATTTACTTGTAATCTTAAATTTTAAATAATATGCATCAATAAACAGTACTTCGTGTATAAAAATAATTTTTAAGAGTTTTTATCAAATGCTTTATAATATTTATAATATAATATAGATACTATGTAGTTGCCAAATTTGTGGTTAGTCTAAGATCTGTGAGGTATAAATTGTGCTTATATATCATGGTTTCAACAAGTGAGGGATTATTTATGTAATAACTTGAAAGTACAAGGGCTAAGTTGCTATTAGTTGGGAAATGGGGATTTCATAATGAGAGAAATTATAAATCAAAAACATTATTTATTTGTCTCTCTTAATTCCTATCAAGCTTTAACAAGAAAATAAAGTATTTGATGTAATTTTAGAAGCAATAATTGATTAATTTTTTATATAGTTAAATTCCATTAAAAGATAACGTATTTTAATTTGATTTTTATTACGTACTTTTAAAATTTTCATTTTGGTATTTAAGATGTAAAGTTTTGAACATTAGATACCAATGTAACTGGTTGAAGCATTAACCGGTTATTATGCTGATGTGACAAATGATGTGGCATCCAACTCCATATTATTTGCTGACTGACACGGATAATGACGTGAATTTTTTTAATTTAAAATTAATCTTAAAATAAATAAACTCACCCACCCACCTCACATTTGATGAGGTTTAAACCCCTGATCTCCTAAGAGGTCAAAGAGATAACTAAAACAGCAAACAGTGTGAGGTGAATACTGCTGAATGTAAGAAAGCATTTGGTTAGACAGAAATGATGAGGATAAGTTGATAATAAGTCCATTCTTAAATATTTATACGCACAGACTGCATTTGCATTTGCATTCGCCACAAAAAAAGAAAAGAAAAATGTATGTCAAACGCACACCTGTTGACTCCATACCAGAACATAATGAAAAAAACAAGCAACGGAATGAAAATTAATCCGACTATACAACCTTATGTCCTCACGGCCAACTTCCCTTTCGCCGATCTCATGCCTTCCACCCATAACCCATACCGTCCTCACGCTCGTCGTTGTTAAAAAACCCATTCTCCGTCAACTCACTAGCTATGTCTTGAAAGACATCCGACACGTGAGGCAAATCACCCGCTTTCTCCCCACCTGCACAAGAATCGCTATGCGAACCAGCTTTAAAACTGTTGCTTCTGGTCGGCCCACCAGCACTCTGCCCGGATATGCTCGACCTTACTCCTCCACCGTCATTGTTGTTCATATCCTTGAGTGCTTGCTGAATCATCTGGTGTTGCGAGGATGACTGCTCCTGTTGAACTTGGAATACACCACTAGGAAACTGCTGATAGGGCAGCTGCAAGCTTGAAAACCTGCCACCAACCAGGATATTACCATTGTTATTCTGCAAGGCCCGACCTTCAAGTGGCGATCTGTTCTGGAAAGAAGATGATGCATCCTGTTGCGAGTTTGAATTCATTGAGCTTTGTCTCATCATCTTATTCTGGTATTCGGACAATGCCAAAGCAGCTTGCACCGAGCCAAGCGGACCTCCTCGGCTTCCCATGTGAAAATTATTGTTCATCGAGCCTGGATGTAGAGCGACCAGATTACTTATGGCATTCCGGTCTGCTGGCAGGCCCTGAATACTCCCCATTTGTTCCATTCCCTGCATCTTTTGCATTTGCAATTTGGCTACACTAGTCTGTCGTGGGAAGTTTTTCAACGCCTCTGTAACGGAAAACCAGAGAGTTAGTAGTGTCACACATACTACCATGATGTCGCTGAAAATTACTTAAGAATATTACCGATGGGGCCAGCTTTAGTTTCTTGGGAGAAATCCATCAAGTCTTTCATGCTATTGACAACTTCAGATATCTGGAACAAATGGGTAAAGAAATCAGTATCTTTCAATCAAGCTAGATGAGTATGCCCAATTTTTGGTACAAAGAAGGTTCCAAAATGAGAAAAAAGAGTTCCGATTCTTTTTTACCTGTAAGCATCTTACATATCTTTTAGTAAATCCCAAGTCATTTAATGATTGTAACTCTAAGCTCCTTGCAAGCTGCCGCCCAGCTGTTACAACCCTGAGGCACAAGAAACAATCAACCATGATGTACGGTATGAAATTTTGGAAAAACAAATCAACCAACTTATGATCATGTTATTGAGTTTTTTGGTCAACCCCTTTTAGATGAAAGCTCTAATATACAGAGATTGCTTAAAACTCACATATTGCTGTTTGTCTGCAAATCTTGCTGGGAAACGCCACCAGATCCACTTTCAGCAATTGTAGATTGCCATTTCTGTGCAACTTCTAACAACTGATTAACCTACAAAACACAAAAAACTGCCTTTTAATCTACAAAAGATCATTCATCGTCCAAAGAATATAGTTCATATGGTAAAGAGACTAAAACTTCATCCATTTAAATTCAGGTATTGATAAAGAAAAGAGAATCTTACCTGAGGAGCAACCAGCCTGCGTGGAAGAAGCTCCTCATGACGCCGTGAGCAGAATTCCCAAGTTAGTATCTGAAAGATGTTTAGAAGTATTAGTACGAAATCAGGTACATCACTAAAACACAGTACCAAATGCAGATATTCAACCTTTAAATCAGGGGTAAAGATAACTTTAAGTCGGCCCTCATGAACCACGCGCATTTGCGCATAAACACTCTCTTGAACTGCTTTTCCATACTCCAACATCATGACTCCAGAAGGAGATCTACATTCGCGAGGCAAGTCCAGAAACCAAAGCTCGTCAATAACACCACTTCCGAATTTAATTTCATTAAGCCTAGGCAGAACTTCGAAGGTTGCCTCTGTCAAAATACACCAGAGCAAGGGTATACAAGTAAAGTCACTATCAGGACAGAAGACACATTGTGCTTAAACAGTAAAGCAGTATATATTGCTTTAACAGGGCAGAGAGGAAGCAAGTAACATGACAGTCAGAAATTTTAAACATCATAAAAACAAAACTATTATCGAAGAATACTATAAATTCTGAAAAGAATGATCGATATAAGCATAGGCATGATAAATTACATACCGAATCCTCTTCCAGATTTTGACCCACAAATGCTACACTGCCATACATCCTAAAGAAGAAAGGAAGGAGAACATGTGAGATGATTTTTACCATAAAAACAAAGATAAGAACATCATGTTTACACAAATGAACATTCATGAAAGAATGTGAATGACAAAAGCTGAAAATAAGAAAGCACAGAACATGAAAATTTGTCATAGAAGAATGAACTTTTGCCATCTCTAATTGCTCTACGATAGTAAGAAGTCTTTTTAACATCCCAGGCTAACTGTACCAGATATTGTCCGCTTTGTCCACACAGCTTGACTCAGTTTTAAAACGCATCTAATAGAGAAGGTATCAATCCCCTTATAAGGCAACCTTTGTTCCCCTCCCCAACCAATGTGAGATCTTACGTCTTCCTTAAAGTTTAGTTCAAAAGCAACAAATACAAAGCACTCACCATAGCTGCAGGGGGGAATACACCTAATGGGTGATGCCCAACATTATTATGTAAGGATAGACACCACCTTTTCTTCGCACGTGGAGAGTAATATTCCGCCACAAACTTCCTCCAGTAGGAAATATCCTGTACCAAATGTTAAAGTTTTGGTGGAAAGGAAAAAAAATTAGATACATTGCATTCAAAAACAAAACCAAAACAAGGAAGCCAAATTGACACAGCTATTCTAATAAGAAAGCTATAAATTCTTGATAATCAACTCACAGCTGGCCTTTGCCGCTGATGATACAGATATTGCATCAGTCTTCGTGAACATACACCACCATCATAGGGTCGGTTTACTGCAGATGCAGGTTGCAAGCCCTGCTGTTGAAAATTTTGTCTAGAGTGCAGCTGCTGTTGCTGCTGCTGAAGCAAGTGTGCACGTTGCGCTGGTGACAGAGACTGCAGCAACTGCTGTTGCTGATATAAAGCTTGTAACTGAAGGTTAGGGCTTTGTAACTGCATTGAGTCTTGTCTTTGCAATATCTGTCGTAAAACTTGCTCTTGCAATATATCATCCTGCTTGATATCAAGTCGAGGTTTCTTTTGCAGGTGGGATAAATTATCATGATCCGAAACGAATGACCCCGGAAACATTGAACCTTCAGGGAATTGAACCCGTCCAAGCCTTGGATTGGGCAAGGACGTGGCAGTAGAAGCTCCTTGACGAGGACCCTGCTGATGCCCATAATGAAAATTTGGGTCCTGAATGGAGCTTTGCTGCACAGGGGATGGTGCATCTATAACAGAAGAGCCTGAGATGCTAATATTGTTGGAAGAGAAAGACAACGGCGATGCAGGTAACCGCACATAAGATTCTGTGCTGATGCTTGCACTTCTCTGGAGACAAGGCGTACCTCCTGAAAGTACCGAGTTAGCATCAGTAACCAATGAACTTGCCCCGATGCTAGGCCCTGAGCTAGCCGCGCTATCCATAACAGCATTGCTCACCTCCCCAGAAACTGGTACCATGTTTGAATACATATTTCGAGAACGTAAATTTGAGTTCCCATAGGAGCTCAAATGAGAATTTCTTAGAGCTTGAGACTGCTCATCTCCTTGAAAAAAGATACCAGAACTCGATGAAGAATGCACCATCCTTCCCCCCAACCTAGACGACCCTATGTGCGATGGGGCCGCTTGCTGGATTTGATCCAAACAGTTATCCAGTGCCGCTGCTTTCAGATATGTACAGAAACTAGAAGATGGACCTCATAATACCACACAATAATTGTTATTCTTCCACCTCTGACAAAAGATACCGAGACCCATTTTAAAATCACCAACTTCACTGATAATCTGAATTAAAATTCCAACCATTATGATAAAGTTAACTGTGAGCCAGAAGAATGTGCAACAAAAAGACCAACAGCTGTCACTACTAAATTTAGAATCAAGAACCCTTATCAACAGATATATAGTAACCAAGTCGAGAATATAAGACAAAATAAGAGCATCTGTTTACCTCGGAGCAACAACTACTGCAAAAACCCTAAATTGGTTCCGGAGAAAAAACCCTAACTTATCGTATAGCCAACGAAGATCGATGAAAGCCTATACACCAAATCCGCACAAAGTAACCTCCTAATAAGGCGTAATGGGTAAGGAAACACCAGATTAACTATCAGAAGTCATGATTTTAAGAAGCAACTTCATCGCATTGATTGAAAATCGATAAAAGAAGATGAAACTCAAATTCTTATAATCCATCCGTGAAATTGCGTAAACGAGAGAAAATTTAAAACCCGCTACTAACCAAGAACTAGAACAACAAATTCGGGAATAAATTCAAACCTACAACTACAGAATCGATGTTTGCACAGTTCAAGTGTGGATCAGAAGGTTAAGCAAACTGTTAGTTAAAATAATGAATGATTTTAGCAGATAGAAAAGAGTGAAGAAACATAAAGAAATGAGCAAACCTGTAGATTGATTGGGAAAGATGATCGAGGCGTCGGAAGGGTTGGTCGGAGTTTATATACCAAGCGGGAATTGGAGCGCCAAGAATGACCGGCTAGTGGCGGTGTGTAACCCTACCAGGAGGTTGTCTTGTATCGAAAACAAATCCACGGCTGTTACAGACCCCCATTTTGCTAAAATGAACTCCTTTCTATTTTTTTAATAATTTTTTATTTTAAATTACTAAACTAACCCTTTGTTTTCCTTTATCTTTTAGGAGCTTCAAGGTATTCTATTAGGTATCGACTAGTTGTGTACCCGTGCAATGCAGCGAGAACCATGAATTTTAACGATTTTGAAGTTCCATTTGTTTTATAAGATAAGATTTAACGATGATATATGTTACACTTGGTTTTTACATATTAATACAATTTGAATAAATAAGAGTTATGGTTCCAATTACAGACTATCGATGGAAAAAATTGTATGACAGTTTAAAATCCAACATATTTAAACGATTCAACAAATGTGTTCGATTTACACCTAGAGCAAAGAACCAATAAACTTGAGTTTTAAAATAAACACTCAAAACCAATAAAGAAAACTACAAATTTGACAGATCATAAGCCATGAAAAGACCAAAACATATGGGTTTTAGAATAAAATTTCAACTGTTTACCCTCTTTCTTGTCCAAAAACTCAGATTAAGGTTGAATTAATACATGTATATATATATATTTCAAAAAAACCCAAGAACATATTAAGTCGGAACATATTATACAGTGCAATTTGGACAGCCTAACCCTAAACTATATAGTGTATATATATATATATATATATATATATATATATATATATAAATAACTATACAAATATAAATCGTAGATATTAAAAATATTTTTTCACAATATATATAATATTAAATAATATAATTAAGTAAAAAAACTATTCAATATTGGACTTATTTCAAAAATATTAACGAGACGATTATAATGGTGTAACTTGTTAAAATAAAAATGTATTTTTTAAACATGTTTTAATTGATATACGATTATGTATATTAATTTGATAAAGGTTTCAAATGAAACATTTAAAAGTAAATAACGTAAAATAAATTAATTAACTAATTATAGGAGTATAAAATGTAAATTTAAAATTATAATTTTAAAAAATCGGTTGTGAGAGAGTTAGTGTATGTGAGGGGGTGAGTGTATGTGAGGAGAGGAGGGGTGAAAAAGTGATATAAAAAGTATCTTAGTCATTTAATATTTTAAGACTTTTGTTAAATTTGCTTTATAAGATAATATAGATAATAATGAAAGTTATGGTCAACACTAACGAGAACCACTGTATCAATTCCCTTGTAACGATAATTCATAGATTGTTTTGAGATTAAAAATAATAAATGTTTCAAATCCTTTCTTACATATCTCATCTTAACTCTTATTTTCACACGAACAAGGTTTAGGGTTGTTTGACTGATTTTCCATTTAGACCAGGAGTAAAATTGTTTGTGTGGGTTAATCTGTTTGTATAGATTGAAGAAAAAAAAAATTGTTTATGAGAGTTTTTTCATATATGAAATGAAGTGTGTTTTTTAATTGGAAGATACATGTTTATAAATTTTTTGGCTTTATACATAAAATTCTCTCTATAAGTAATTAAATAAGTCACTATCAAACAATCATATATAGTTAACCAAATAAACTATTAACAAACAAATCTTTAGGAGTCGTTCGGTTGTGGCTTAATGAGTTGTATAACCTATATGACTTATTCGCTCAGCCATGAATATACGTTTGGATGTGGCTTATTCGATCCGGCCATGACTTAATCAGTAAGCCAAAAAAAAAAAACTAGAGTCCGATACACTCATCCATTCTTGATCCATTTATTCCCTTTTTACCTTCACCTTATCTTCTTCTCTCTATATATACCAAATCAAAGTCTCATTTGTTAAAATATTTCACCCTTTTTTCTCCTATGATCTTCTCCTTCCTTCTAGATATTAGAGACCTCTCAACCTTCAAAGTTCAAACCATCAACAACACAGTCGCTCTCTTGTGTCATTGCTCTTTCGATTTGTTTTTTAACCTAAACCTTGACTTCGATCTCTATTATTTGTAGATCTGGTTTTGTACATTATCCGGTTATTTCCTTTGTTGTTTATTCTTTCTTCTTCGATCTCTATTCTTTATGGATATGGGTTTTGTACGTTCTCTAGTTGTTGTTCTTTCGGCTAGAAATTGATTTTTCATTTAGATCTATGCCTTGAAATCTCAATGACATTGTTCCTGAGTTAAAAAGAAACAAAAATAATAATTTATTATAATATACAATATATAATCATGATACTAAATAACATAAAATTCATATTAATATGTTGTTTTAATCTAAAAGACGTTTAAATTATTATTTATTATTATTAAAAGTCATTGATTCAATAATTTTATGTAACAACTATCAGGGCCGGCCCTGGCCACGTGCAGCCCGTGTGGCCGCACAGGGCATCAAAGCCTAAAGGGGCATCAAATTGTTATTTATTACTAGTTTTGAGTTTAATAATTTGGGAATTGGACAACTGAGCTTTAACTATAAAAACAGACCCAAGGGCTAGTAGTGATGAATATTGAATGCACATCATAGGAAAAAGTTGGAAAAGTTTTTGTTTGGGATAATTTTTTTGCAGATGTAAGGAGTGTTTTTTAGTTGGAAGAGACATGTTTGAAAAAAAAAACTTGACTTTCTATATAAAGCTCTCCCTAGAAGCTTACTGGACAAGTCACTTTCTATATCATTAAGTCACTACGAAATAGTCATGCATAGTTGAGTGAATAAGTTGTTAATTTCATTAAACTTATAAGGCTGCTAATAGATAAACCCTTAGGTGGCGTCTGGTTCGCAGATTCTGATGGAATCTGATGGAATTGGAATGTTGAATTCCATTGACCAAATTCCATTCCCTCGTTGGTTCATTCTTTTTCACGAAAGGAATCTTCAAAATCCTACAAATTCCACAAATAAAGGAATTTAACATTCCTTAGCAACTACATGGTATTTTGATAGAATGAAATATCTACTTCATTATACCAAATATGCTCTTAACCTAATATACTCTAATCTCATAAAACTCAATATGACCATCCTCGACCACCTCTCGACCACTATTGATCTGAACCACTGGTGACCACCACCACCGGCTGCCACTGATCTGAACCACCGCCGACCACCACCACCGATCTGAACCACCGTCGACCACCACCATCGACTACCACCGATCTAAACCACCGTCGACCACCACCATCGACTACCACCGATCTGAACCACCGCTGACTACTACCGATCTGAACCATCACTGATCTGATTCACCGTCAATTTGAACTACCGCCATCTGAACCACCATGGACCACCACCGATCTAAACCACCGGTGACCACCACCACTGACTACCCCCGATCTGAACCATCATCGACCACCGCCGATTACCACCGATCTGAACCATCGTCGACCACCACCAGCGACTACAACCGATCTGAAAGACCGCCGACCACCACCACCGATCTAAACCACCGCCAATCTAAGCCACCACTGATCTGATTCACCGTTAATCTGAACCACCGTCAATAACCGCCATCTGAACCACCATGGACTACCACCGATTTGAACCACTGTCGACCATCGCCATCTAAACCACCACAGACCACCATCGATCTGAACCACTGCCAACTTCTACCGATCTGAAGCACTGTCGATCTAAACCACCATTGACCATCACCGATATGATTTAACGCCGATCTGAACCACATCTGACCATCATCACCTGAACCACAACGGACCACCATCGATTTATATCACTGCCAACCACCGACAACTACCATCGATCTGAATCACCGTCGGACACCGCCGACCACCACCGATTTGAACAACCACTGGCACTACCACCTATATGAACCACTACTGACCACCTCCATCCGAACCATTGCGGACCACCATCGATCTAAATCACTGCGGACCACCACTGTAGACCACCACCATCTGAACCACTGTAGACCACCACCAATCTGAACCACCGCCGACCACCGTTGATTTAGTAATGTCGTTTGGCTTATGATTATATTAGGGTTGTGTATTTTATATTGTTTTACATATTAAATAATTATTTTATTAAAGTATTATTAGTTTAAAAAAATTAAAATTTTCAAAAAAGGACATTTTGGTCATTTACCAATATTTTATTCCAATTTTAAAGCTACATTCCGTGAACTAAAGAGACAGATTCCAATTTATTAACAGATTCTATTCCAATGTCTGCCAACCAAACAGGTGGTCAAACCTGACAACATTCCATTCCAATTCATTCAAAGTCAAATTCCTTTAACAAATTTAATTCCATCCAAAAACATTATGCGAACCAAACGCCATCTTAGCCTTTAGTCATTAAATTTGTAACTTTTGAGTTTTACTTTTTGCTTACTATGACAGTAATTTAGATGTAATTTACTATTTTAGTTAAAAACTAATTATAGTTTTCCTTGTCTTTTAAGTCCCATATATTGAAATAAAGTTTAKATTTTGCTAATTTCAATTTGGAAAAGGGAAAACCGGAAAAGAATGAAACATGATCTTAATCCAGAATCTATCCTTTTATATTTTGTATTCGGGGTTTTGGTTTTTATGTCCCTTCCATTGTATTTTTTTTATTATAATTAACAAAAATCAATATGAGGATGAGATACCTAACTTAAATAGGTTTTAAACTCTTTAAAAAATTGCATGTTTCGTTGTTTCATTGGCTTAAAAGAAATAAATTAAGGGCATTTTTTATTATTTTTGTACAATACAGGACATCAAAAATCTTAAGACCAGCCCTGACAACTATATATTTTTCTTATTGGATATGCTCTTTAACCTTTCACGTAGTCGACTCATCGCCCACGGGACCAGACATACAAACGAACCCATTTAGGTCCCTGGGTCCGGTCCAGGTCTCCTCTCTTGTACACAACCCTTGGACGTTCTATCATCAAAACTCAAAATGAGCCATACCTCTACCCTCCTCCTTACTCCATTCTCCACTATTTCTTCCATTTCTGCACCCAACACTCCTCCTTTCCATTTCAAGATTCCGACTACCACAAGAAAATCATCCAAGATAAGCTGCTCTGGCCACGACAATTCTCAAAATCAACAGCAACAACTCAATCTCTCTGTTCTTCGCTTCACTTTAGGGATCCCTGGACTCGATGAATCCTATTTACCCAGATGGATTGGCTATGCTTTTGGGTCTCTTCTCGTTTTGAATCATTTTGTAGGTTCAAATTCCACCACCATCACGGCGGCACAGCTAGTGAGTAATTTATTTGCAATTCAATGACGATTGTGGATTTTGCACTATGTCCTCTTTGAATTAGAGGGTTTTTCGTGTTGATTTTGTTTAATTCCATGATGGGATTTCAGAGAACAGAGGTTCTGGGTCTTTCTTTGACAGCATTCTCTGTCGTCCTTCCCTATATTGGGCAGTTTCTTAAGGTAAAACTTATTATCTTTTTGGTTCTTGGTTGCTTAATATTACGAACTTCCCTTTGGCTACAATCCAAGAGCCTCTAATGATGATGATGATGTGTAAGTTCATCAAATGATGGCAATGGTAACAAAGATCATCTGTTTCTGTTGAAATGAGTTAACAAGATGAAGTAAGCTTGATAGAGTAAGTATTTTATCAGCAAACTCGGTAATTGAAGTGAAACAAATATTGAATAGTAGCTAATATGCTAATGTGTGCGTTTTTATGGCAGTGGTGACATATTTATAGGCTTTGAATGCTTTCTCATTCGTAATTTTGATGCTTGGAAACAAAATGCAGGGTGCTACACCAGTGCTTCAAGCAAGCATCCCTGAAGGCGCTGAGCAAATCTTTGCCATGTCTCCAAATATATCTGATACTGTTAAGGAGGATTTGGCCTGGGGATCTTACACTCTATTGCGTAACACAAATAGCATTTCTGTGGTATGTTGGGACTCAGACTTACATATTGAATAAACCATTGATGAATGATGATTGATAAATGACATTATACTATCTTAATCTGTGGATTAGTTTATCTTTAAATACCAATAACCCATAACTGAAAATGGATATTCTAATTCTCTTTGTATTGATATAGCTTATATCCATCCAAGATGTATTGTGTGTACGTGGCTATTGGAACATGCCCAAAAGCATCGATCTATCAAAAGAACAAGCAGTTGATTGGTTTAAGGAAAAGATGCAACGGGTTGGCCTCTTTAATTTGACAGAGACCCTTTATTTTCCTCAGAGAACAGGTAAATCATCGAATTGTTACACAATCTTGAGGAAAATGAAATTATATGATTATAAGCAGTTACAAGAATATTGTGGATCGTATCTGCAAACCAGGAGTGGTGATACAGTTGCTCAAGTTAAGAACTTTGTATGTTCTTTTAATGATAAAAGGTCCAAAGAGCAGCTATGGTTTACTGACTTTTTGGGGGTTGTTACTATTATATCCTTGTACACTTGTATTTCTTTAGCGATGGTATTTTTCGAGTGTGATATTCTACATTACTGAAAAGATTTTGGGTAGAAATATAATCGTATTTGGTCTACTTCAGATTCTGAGCTGTGGGGGATACTTCCTGAGGGGACACGCTCGCTGTTGGTTTTACCCGTGCTTAACACTCCAGATGAAGACAGGATCTCTGAGGACAGAATTTCAGGGTTTGTGTTGTTGGCATCAAGCATCAGTTATGCATATAGCAACAAAGACAGATCCTGGATAGCAGCCATTGCTATAAAATTCCAAGGTAAAAGCCTGTTATATGGATTTTTTGACTTGTATTCAATGACAAACACACACACACACACACACATATAGAGAGAGGGGTTATGGGGAAAACCTCAAAAAAATGAAAAATTGAGTAATACCCTGGTAACCTTTCATCATGGATGTCATGCACATGTGCATACAAGTAATTGAAGTTGTTTCTTCGTTTTGTGCATACCGGACAAATTGCTTACAAGCTACTTGTATGCATATGTGTATACCGTTCAAATGAATGGTTAGTTTTCCTCGGTTTTTTCATTTTTTGCGGTTTTCCCTAGTACTTGTCCCTATACACACACACACACACATTCATACATACATATAGGGACAAGTTTAAATGAAAACCGAGTTTTGCTTGTGAATTGGGGGACAAAGGAGAGCACGACATGTGTCCCTTGTGTCCATGGGTTATTCATACGAAAGTACTGAACAATAGACATTCATGATGAACATGTATTATTCATATTGAATAATGAATCAAATTAACATGGATCATGATCGTGTGTTATTCATACTGAATGTTGTATTATTCTTACTGAATAGTTCATGAACTTCACCTTCGTTTATTCATACTAAATGTGGATGCTGGGGACACATGTCGCGCTCTCCTTTGTCCCCCGGTTCACAACCGAAAATCGATTTTTATTTGAACTTTTCCCTGTATATATATATTAGTGTTTTGAAAAGAAAGGCCAAATGATTTCATCAGTTAGATTGTGGAGGACAATGCATTTTCATCATGCTGGATAAAGTTTCATTTTTCTGTAAATTACATTAGGAATCACCTTTCTTTAACCTTGAATTTGTTTAAAGAAATCTCAAGGAGATGAATCATTCGATGGATGGTTTTAAAAACCCAATTTGCAGGAACCATCATCAGTCATAAAACCTGAAACTTGAATGGTGGTGGTGTGGTTTCTACAACTTAATTCTCCAGATGCTGCAAGTGATGAAAAATGTGATGAACTCTTGAAGAAATTTAGGAGACAGGATTACCCCAAGGCACACAAAATCTCCTGATGGCAAGGATAAGGCCTGGTATATACACACACAGACATGTATATATATATACACACACACACACATATACATGTATATGTATGTGTACGTATAGTAATAGTATGCATATATGTGTGACAGTAAAAGGATTTGAAAGGTGATTCCTTTAAAATGGTCCAAGCAGAGTGAGTAATTCTTCCAGACTGGATACAGGTGTGAAATGGGTCCATTTGCAAGGTTTTTTCTCTTATCAATTATTACTGGTCACAAAGAATATGATATTTTGGGGTTGTCCTCCAATAATATTCTCAGAACCCCATATCTATCAGATTCAAAGCAAATCCATACCAAATTGAGTTGAAAGCATATGCTGTTTTTGGGAGTGCAAAATGGGGGTTTGTTGTTGTTGTATTTTGGTAGCATTTTATGAAGAATGGTTGCATGTTTTATATATAAATAATAAACAAAAGACACCAAATGATATAATTATGAATTGTGTACTTTGTTTTGATTGTTTATGTGAATAAAAAAACATGATTTTTGCTGCCACTCAAAAGGTGTGGTTGAGAAGCCAATTCAACATGTGCCTTTTCTTGTTTCCATCCATAATTTTATGTTACAAATTATATAAAAGAGTAAACTACAAATTTGGTCGTTGTGGATTGCCGAAAGTAATACTTTATAATTTTGTAGTTTTAAAATTATAAGATGGTTAGTTTGTAAAAACGCTTGGATTTGCTCTCACTATTTAACGATCGTTAAAAAGTTCCGTCAAATGAGGGTGTTTTCGTCTTTTTATTGGGGTTTTTTGTCTTTTATGATTTGGTTCTCGTGATTTTTGATTGGGTAAATGACGATTTTTTTTTTTTTGATAAAATGACGAAAATAAGTCTCATTTAACGGAATTTTGGGACGGTCGTTAACAGAATGACTAAATCCATACGTATTTGCAAACTATGATGACCATCTTATAATTTGAAAACTAGAAAGACTAAAAGTGTTACTTTTAACAAACTACATGGACCAAATCTGTAGTTTACTCTTATATAAATGAATACCGTAAGTCTACTCATACAATATTATACACTTAAAAGTCAAGATATCAAAACTAAAATTATGATCCATCATTTGTCTCTTCCAATTTTAATTTATAGTTTTTCTGATTCTAGGAGTAAGGGGTCGTTTACCAAACACTTATCCGGTAAATGCTTACGGGTAAAATTTAACACTATCATTTACTTATCGGGTAAAATTTTAGTCCACCAAAACGACATCGTATGCAACAATTTACCCGGTAAGCGCTTACCATATTAAGATTCGTCGACCTCACTTTACCGGGTAAGACTCTTGGTCCTTGTCTCTCTCTCACCGAGTAAGATTCTTGGTCCTTATCATATTCATCCGGTAAGGTGATGTGACTTGATAAGCGCTTATTCGAATAAACGTTTTGTAAACGGCCCCTAAGAGAGCTTTCTATTGGTTATCAAGCATATATATAAGTAATGGATCAAATTCAAATCAAGTTGTTTGTACAAATGGTATAAAATCGCATCAAACCAGTCATAAATTTCCTGTTTTTCACTTTTTTTTTTTAATTATAAGGGTTAGTAATTTTTACTGTGAAGAACGTTAATTATGGATATTATCATCTTCAATGGTGGTGATGTGGTTCATATTTAATTATTTACGTAAAATTCTTTTAATTTTATAAAAAAATTGTAGGAAGGGAAAGAGCAGGTGAAATGGAGTTGGGAGTTGGATGGGCAGTTGCTGTTTTGATTGTTGCCTTTTCTATGTCAATGCCCTTTTCTCCATACCACCTCTCACCAATTTTCACCTAAACATACCACTTTCAAACTCTCTCTTTCTACATTAATCTTTTTATTTAATAAAATATTTTATGTTAGTAATATTTTATCGATTCATATCGTAAAACGGTACATCAACGTCACATATTTGTTTAATCGTCATCGTCAACAAAAATGAAAACGTATTTAATTTAATTATTTCAGACCATAACATATGAAATCATTAAAATCAAATATCTATTTAATCATCATTATCAACAAAATTCACTCTGTAACAATTGATGTCACAAACGCAGTACCAACTTATAGTTTTCTTTTATGACTCGAAAAATCGCATTTAAAAGGGTATTGGTAAGTCTTTAATTTGATCCTTACTTTAAAACGGATGTCCAATCTCGTTTTCAAATCCGTCGTTAACTGATCAAGGTTTAAAAATACGTAGATTTAAAAGACTGATCAAGAATTGTATTGTTTCGAAGTCAGATAAAAATATTACTGATAATATAAATGTGGAGTATATCGAGGAATAAAAATTAGGTAGTCCTTCGTGGGTGGTCGCAAACTTTGAAGTGTCGGTACATCCTTCCTTTCCATTTTTTCTAAAATATGCAAAGGTCGGTCCATTTCTTACCCCAACTGTCGGTGCTACCTTATTATTATTTTATTTTTTTAGGATTATTTTCAATAATTTTAAAAACAATAAAATATTTAATAATTACTTTAAATTTTAAGTATAATTTTAATGCATGAATTTATCCATTTATTATTATACTACTTTTAGTAAATTTGAAAAAAAGGAATTGTTTTATTATAAAATCAGGAAGATTTAGAAATAAAATCATAAAAATAAGCGACATTAAATAATGGTTATTTAAGAGGGTCTTCGTACATAGTATTTGAATTCATTGCATTATTTAAAATCGTATTTATTATATTTAAATGTTTAAATAAAATTAATAAATTCTTATTTTTAAAGTTTAATTAACAATTTTTTGTGATGATTACAACATTCTTCTTATCTTTAATCAATTGACACATATCAACTTTTTTATAGAGTCGTGTTCGTTTTATATTTACTTTACATAAACGAGACTAAATCATCATTATCATATATTATTAACTGTTAATCATTCAACTTAATTTTTAAAATGACATTCATTTACATTTGCTTAATCTCATCTCTAATTCAAAATACATACTAAATAACAAACCAATTTTTCTTTTTGGTCTTAAATCATTTATTTAAAAAATAAAAAATGAAAAGAAAGTAGAGTCAATGTGAAAGCTACCTTCCATTATAATTTATTTATTTATTTATTGGTATTTATACAATAAATAATTATATATATATATATATATATATAATTTTTGGTTTCCATAAGTTTCTGGACTTTCCTTTCAATCTTGTTGGCAAAGGAGAGAAGAAGAGGAATAAGATTCAAACCTTGAAAAATATATTAATTTTGTTTCCCAATTTTTGTATTTCTATTTGCATCTGCATTGATTCTTTCCTTCGCCCAAATCAGAAAACTAAAGATTGCAGCTTTAAATACAATATTTTGGCAGGTTTCACCTGCTACAATTAGATTTTGTCTGGCATTTTCCTAGTTTTGTCTTCCCATCTCCACTTTCTTTGTCGATATTTTCACTAAAAGACTTGATTTTTGGATCGCTAGATTCTTGATTTTCCGGCACTGGTGGGAAATTCCGGCAGTCGGCTTCTGGAGGAATTGTCAACTGCGTGTTTCAGTTTCGAACCAATCACTTGTTTCTCTCTCTAGACACGCGTGACTCTCCGGATACGACTCGTGTACTGCTGAATTCAGATATTAATGGCTGCTCTTTTTCTTCCAAATGGGTATCTCTATCTATGATCATACCACCGTCGCCGATCCTTCCATGGTCAACGCTTTGATCTGAGTCTTCTTCTTTCTCAACCACTTCTCCCCAATCTTTGAAATCTAAAACCCCAACTCTGGTTAAGGAAAACAGATCAAAGATGATGCGTATGAAGACGAAGCCAACGGAACCCACTTCCATCAACGGTAGTGGTGATAACGAATGGGAGGTCCGGCCAGGAGGAATGCTGGTCCAGAAACGAGATCCAAATGCAGAACATACGCGAATTCCTCCACCAACTATTAGAGTTCGGGTCAAATACGGGTCGATATACCATGAAATCCATATCAGTTCTCAAGCCACTTTTGGTAATTAAGTTACTCCTCTATTTCAATTCAAATTATCCAAAGGTTTCTTGATTTTTTTCAAGTCTTGTAATCTGGTTCTGGGCATTACAGGGGAATTGAAGAAGATGTTATCTGGGCCGACAGGATTACACCATGAAGATCAAAAACTGATGTATAAAGATAAAGAAAGGAACTCGAAAACTTTTCTGGATGTTGTGGGTGTTAAGGATCGATCAAAGATGGTTTTGTTGGAAGACCCAATTAGCCAAGAAAAAAGGTATCTTGAGATGAGAAAAAATGCAAAAATGGAGAAGGCGGCTAAATCAATATCTGAAATTAGCTTGGAGGTCGATAGACTTGCAGGCCAGGTACATAACCCATTACAATCAACAATTCAATTACGTTAGTTATATATAAAATCTTTATGGTTATGATTTGGATTTGGATTTTGAAGGTGTCGGCGTTTGAATCGGTTATTTCGAAAGGAGGGAAAGTGGCGGAGAAGACTCTGTTAAATCTAATCGAGTTATTGATGAACCAGCTGCTTAAATTGGATGGAATTATGGCTGAAGGAGATGTAAAATTACAGAGAAAAATGCAGGTATTTTTGTTTTAGGTTCTTGATTTCAAACAGGATAACCTAGTAACAAACTAACAACAATTAAGCGATTATCTTGATTGATGAATTTTGCAGGTGAAAAGGGTTCAGAAGTACGTGGAAACTCTCGATGTTTTAAAGATTAAAAACTCGGTTACAGGCAGCACCGGAAGTGGGAGTCAAGTCCCAGTCTCAAAGCCGCCGCTGCGGGCGGCATCACCAATTCCAGGAAATCAAGAACACCGAAACTCAAACGGACATGGTGGTGGTGGGTTTTTCCCTAATTCCAGACGGTCGGTTGGGAATTTTTCAACCGTACCGGTGCCAACTAAACAGCAAGAAAAAGTTTTGGTTACTACAGAATGGGAGACTTTTGACTCGACACCAGCACCCCCGTCATCAAGCAATGGCAATGGCAATGGCAATGGCAATACAATACATCCCAAATTCAGCTGGGATTTACTTTAAAATTATAATAAATATAACATCATTCATATATATATACAGTGTAGTGTGTGAAGTGAAGTGCTACTTATGGAATTTGCGATTGTCATCTATTGTGATTCTTTGGTGTAGGTAGAGTTTTTTGTCTTTTTACAAATAATGAAGTTTAAAAACTGGTAATAAATACATGTTCTTGTTCTTCATTTTTTGTAATGATTAATGGGTTGATGATGATTAGTTGAAACATAAGATGAAATGATTGATTTATGATTACAAAAACCAAATCAGTTGCAGATTTCACAGTTGGACCATTTACCAACCTGCAGCAGTATGGAAGTAGCAGCATCATCTTTCTCAAAGGACAAGAAGAGAAAACGATAGAATCACTTGTTCATAATTTTTTATTGGTGTCAATATGCATTTGGAACCATTGACTTGAGGGATAAATACATAAAAGTTTTATTAAAAATGCAAAATTAATCGTAGATTTGGAAACTATTTATGGTGCGTCATGTGTTTTAATTTTTTATTAGAACATTGATGATGAATATGATAGTATTATTCATTATAAATTACACATTCATGATAAATATAGATATATTATTCATAATGAATCATACATTCACAATGAATATGATGTTTCTTGGGTTTCTAATGAAATGTTCCTATATATAAGACTTTACATCATCTTGGGTAAACGTAAGGGTAGGGGTAAGCATTATCATTTGCATTCATTCTTACGACCACCGATTATCGTCACACGAACCTACACATTATTACCAAGGAGCAAAAAACTATTATTAATAAAAATAAATAAACCCTAACACAGTTTGAAAAATTATCAACAAAAATACAAGCATAATAATACTACTTTGATTGATGAAATCAGTATTTCTACTGTAGGATTTGGTATTAGATTAGTGTGAAAGACAATAACACAACTCTATTTATGCTATTACGACATTTGGAGATTTTGGGAATTTTCAACAAGTTTTATTTTCTTCAACGGATTTTTAAAAATAGATAAAACGAGAGAGAATGTTACATTCTCTAAATTTGTAGAACTTCGACAATTGATTACCATAAAAGATACATATTCTTTTGGAAATGTTTTGAAAAGAGAAATAATATTTTATTAAATATATAAAATATTTTAATAATATAATCAATATTGAAAATTTCAAAATAAAAAGATAGTTAAAGTCGAATATAATTTTATTTTTGAAGATTTTGAATTTCCATTTGAGATGTTCTTAAAAATACAGAATTGTATAAATTCAAGGTCACTCAAACATAATTGGACTAAATTATCTACCAAGCTCAGGCCCAGGATCATGCATAGGCCCGTTTAGTTTGTAAGATTTGATTTTTTTTTTTAATCAAAGTTTGTAAAAATTGATTGAAATTGAATTTAATTCAAATCTCATATTTGGTTTGATAGATTTTTTTTGATTTGAAATCCTATAAACATAGGATTCTGAAACCTAGAGTGGATGATTGGTATTTTATAGGATTTCGTAAGAATTATATGTAATAATCTACACTATATTATAAAGCATTTGACAAAAACTCTTAAAAATCATTTTTTATGCATGAGGTACTATTTATTGGTGCATAGTACTTGAAATTCAATATTGCAAGTAAATTGTACGCAAGTACAACTTATTAAAGCTCTATTTTTAAATACGTGTAACTAACTACATATAAACATAATCAAATACAAGATAAATATCTTATTTTATATATATATATTAAATATAATTAGGATAATCGTGAAGTTTTAACATAATACTTAATTATTATCCTTATAAAAACTAGAAGCGTACTCGCGCAATGCAGCGAGATACATCGTGATTTTAATATTTCATTTTATTCGTTATCTCAGTCGATGTTATAATATGGCTATACGTGATTTTGAGAAAACGATGATATTTTTATTTTTGAATAAAATATATGTTTGAAGATATCA